TGGAGAGCTTGACAGAAACTCTTATTTCAGCTTCAGGGCATGCACAAGTTCTGCCTGATGATCTCAATCAGGAAGAGCGTAAAGGAATACACGGAGACAAGGCTAATGCTACTGAAGGGACTCTAGATATGAGCAAACTAGAGAGTGGCGTTCCTTCTACGAATAAATCCATTGTTGTAAGAGCTCAAGTGAACGAACATGAGAATTATCCTCATAAAGCTGACAGGAAAGAGCCATGTCAAGAAGATCCTTCTCTGGAGGTGGCTTCTATTTCAAAGACAAAGGCAATTGACAATACAGATTGCATGAAATCCTTCATAAAACCATCTTCTGAGACAGTTGTTCTTGCAAGTGCATCACCACAAACAGATTTGGCAATTCAATCTTCCCCGCAAGTTGATGTTGGAGAGGCAAAGGGTGCTGTGACAAATGATTCAAGTGACACTGAGGATGATCGAACTCCAAATGTGAAAGAAATACATGAAGACAAGTTTAATTCTACTGAAGGGACTCCCACCAATATTACCAAACTAGAGAGAAATAGCCCTTCTATGAATAAATCCATTGTTTCAAGATCTCAAGTGAATGAACATGAGAGTCATCCTCATAAAGCTGACATAAAAGAGCTCTGTCAAGAAGATACTTCTTTGGAGGTGGCTTCTATATCAAAGACAAAGGTGATTGGCAATACAGATTGCATGAAATCCGTCATATCACCATCTTCTGAGACAGATAATCTTGGAAGTGTATCACCAGTAACAGATTTGGCAATTCAATATTCCGGGCAGTTTGATGTAGGAGTGGCAGTGGGTGCTGTGACAAATGGTTCAAGTGAGATTGAGAAGAATCAAACTCAAAATGTAGGAGAGGCAGTGGGTGCTGTGACAAATGGTTCAAGTGAGATTGAGAAGAATCAAACTCAAAATGTGAAAGAAATAAACGAAGACAATGTTAATGCTACTGAAGAGACTCTTGATATTAGCAAACTAGAGAGTGATTGTCTGTCTACTAATAAATCCATTGTTTCAAGAGTTCAAGTGAGCGAAAACGAGAATTTTCCTCATAATTCTGACAGGAAAGAGTCGTGTCAAGAAGATCCTTCTCTGGAGGTGGCTTCTATTTCAAAGACAAAGGTGATTGACAATACAGATTGCATGACATCCTTTATATTACCATCTTCTGAGAAAGATGTTCTTGTAAGTGTATCACCACTAACAGATTTGGCAATTCAGTCTCCCCAGGAATTTGATGCACGAGAGGAATTGGGTGCTGTGACAAATGAATCAAGTGACAATGACAAGGATCAAACTCCAAATGTGAAAGAAATACCCGGAGACAAGGTTATTGCTACTGAAGGGATTCTCGATATTAGCAAACATGAGTGAGGATTTCAATCGGAGGACAGTACGTGTAGTTTTGTTTGTTTAAAATTATAGTTGTAATTATATTAATAAGATGTACAAAATGTTACTGCAGTAGTGCTGTGACTTGCTAGTCCGTGACAAGGTTAATCATCCATCAACATTGAAATACTGTTTGTCTATTTGTAACGTATTTGTATACATCCACACACATGTATACAGTAGACAAAGGATTTTCATACCAATGGGAATCCCATGAGTCCAACTTGATTTTCAGCTAAAAATTGAATTAATAATCCCACATTTTAATTTATTAGCATTAACTGTTAATTTCAATCATAGGATCACTAGAAAAATTATATTCTAACATGTTAAATCTCTCTTTTTTTGGCAAAGCTTCCTAACATATTAGAAGCAGGGCTGGATTCGGGTCCGGGCCTAGGCCCGGGCAGGCCGCCGGTTTTGAATAGTTGGGCCCGGGTAGCTACCGGGTCCGGTTCGGGCCTTGTTTTTTTTTTTTTTTTTTTTTTTTTTTTTTTTTTGCTTTCCTAAGAATCCCTGACCCCCCCTCACCCCCAACCCCTCCTAAACATCAAGTCCAACCTGGGTGGAAGTGTGGAACCCAAAAAATGAAAACAAAAAAAAAATCAATTTGGGCTGAACCGGGCCCAGGCCCTGGCCGGGCCGGACCTCCTTTTCACTGACCCGAGCCCACCCCGCTTTTGAAAGATAACCGGGCCTTGGACCGGTTTGGGGCTTGCAACACCGGTCCGGTCCGGTCCGGTCCCGCAAAGTAGTGGGCCGGGCCGGTTCCCGGGCCGGGGTCCCGAACCGAGTCCATGTATCTATACTTCCTGAAGGAAGATAGAATAGCCAATCCTTGAGAGAATGAAAAAGCTCTTTGTTTGATTTGCTCCTCCGTGACACGGTGACACCATTGGGGCATATGCTTGTTCACACAATATGAAATTCTAACAAGTGTTTGTTCGGATCCCCCCGTAGACCATGGAAGGATGATAGTAGATGGATGAATCTAGATTTTATCTCAAATATAACACCCGTGTCGAGATTCGAGAGTTGGGAAGGTGATTCATAATGGTTGTTGATTGAGGTTTGGAGCTGTGAGCTCCCTCAGGGTTCTTGTTGCGAGAGCCATAGCTGATGGTTCTCCGGATTCGCTAGAGCTAGAGCTAACGCTAGGGTTCTTCGGTAGAAAGTTCCTTCGAGTCAGTACTTGAAAATTTATCTTTCAACCACTCGAAATTTTGTTCTATTTCTGGGTTTGCTTGGTAAGTGATTTCGTTGATAGAACGGGTTTTACCATATACTCATGTAAGCTCAAGAAATAGAAAAGTAAAATCTCTTTATACTTTTATTAATTTTTTTAATATGATTTTTCTTGAAATAAAATGTTGAGTTTAATCCAACACGATATAGTAAATATATGTATAAATGTGTATGAACAAGCTATTTTTACGTGGAAATCCGAAAGGGAGAAAACCACGGGACTTTTTAGGCTAATGTCCAAGCCCTCTCATTCGCATTCATCTCTCCTCACCATTACATAGTACATGTATTGAAGCTCCCATTAATGGAGGATAAAGCTAGCTAATCTATTCTCGAGAGAAGGAGGAGAAGTGGGGAAGAAGAGACCAACCAAAGAGTCCATCCCTTACATGGAGGGAAAACCTCCTATTTATAGGGAATAAGGGAAAGGGAATAAATCTACCCTAATGGGCCAAGTGGGCCAAAAGGGGCCCAAAGGCCGAAACAGGCCTAATAAGCTAAAACGAGCCTCACTGATCGGGCTCCGTACTACGTACAATCTTGGGCTCCTGAACAGTAACGGACCGAGATAATATATCTCAACACAAGTCCCCCAGTTTCTTGAGTAGTGAGCGCGCGAATCTGCTCGAGAAAGTATACTCTTGCCTACGCTTTTCCTCTGCCTTCTTTGCACATGGCCTCGGCTTTTGGAGCAAAGGCTTAACAATGCCTTTACCTAGGTGCGAGGGACTTGGGCGTTCGGCCCACGGATGCCCGACCCGACTTCCTTTGGACATTCGTCCCTAGAAGCTCGGCCTAGATGTGTCTTTGCTTTTGATGTACGACCCCGATTGCAGCTCTCGGAGTCGTCATACAGCAACAATCCTCGACCTCTTCCTGGAGACGTTCGACCTCCAGATGCTAGGCCAGGCTTCCTTGGACGTTCGGCCCCCTTGCTGGTCAGCCCGCTCGATCTCTAGTTGTTGGGGCTCGGGAATTTCCCTTCTGGATGCTCGGCCTGACATGCTTATGAAGATTAGTCCTTAGAAACCCGACCCGATTTCCTTTGGACGTTCGTCCCTAGAAGCTCGGCCTAGATGTGTCTTTGCTTTTGATGTACGACCCCGGTTGTAGCTCTCGGAGTCGTCATTCAGCGACAATCCGCGGCTTATTCCTAGAGACGTTCGACCTCCAGATGCTACGATGGGTCTCTTTGGGACATTTCTACCTCAACATGCTCAGCCTGGGCATGCTCGGTCTCAGGATGTGCTGCGCGTCTCAATGCCCTCGGCCTCCTGGGTGGAGAAGCTCGTCTCCCGACCTCGGCCTCCGGGGTGGAGAAGCTCGTCTCCCGACCTTCGGCCTTCGGGTGGAGAAGCTCGTCTTCGGGCCCTCGACCTTTGGATGTTAGATGGTCGTCTCCAGCCCTCGGCCTCGAGGGTGGGGATGCTCGTCCCCAGGCCCTTGGCCTCTAGGGTGAAAGATGCTCGTCTATAAGCCCTTGGCTTCTGATGGTCTCCTTGAGACCCTCGTCCTACGGGTGGAGGATGCTCGTCCCCAAGCCCTCAGCCTGATGGTCTTCTTTAGATCCTCGGCCTCTGGGGTGGAGATGCTCGTCCCCAAGCCCTCAGCCTGATGTTCTTCTTTAGATCCTCGGCCTCTGAGGTGGAGATGCTCGTCTCCAAGCCCTCGGCCTGTTGGCGGAAGATGTTCGTCTTCGGGCCCTCCGGGTGGAGAAGTTCATCTCTAGGCCCTTGTCACCAAGGTGAAAGACGCTCGTCTCCAAGCCCTCGGCCTCTTGGATGGAGAAGCTCGTCCACGGCCCTTGGCCGTGAAGGTCTTCTCCAAGCCCTTGGCTCTTGGGTGAAAGACGCTCGTCTCGAGGCCCTCGGCCTCTAGGTGGAGGATCGTCTCCAAGCCCTCGGCTTTTAAGGTGGAAGATGCTCGTCTCCAAGCCCTTGGCCTGCGGTCTGCGGACGTTCGGTGGCTATTTGGCTTCGGACGAGCGGCGAGCCATTGATAGGCCGAGCAGCAAGATGCGAAATCCTAACCGGATCCAGGGCGGCAACTCAGCCAGTGTCTCGAGGCCGGGCAGAGTCGAGGTGGCCTCTCCGGGACAAGTCTGCCGTGCATCTGGAAGTACCCCTGGGGCCTTAAGATGTTTTTACTTGGACTGTAATTTGCTGGTCTGGTCTGAACTGGTCTGGTCTGGTAAGGTCTGGTTTCTTTGTATTTTTATAACTATCCAAGTCTGGTCTGGTCTGAACTGGTCTGGTCTAGTCTGGACTGGTCTGGACACTTTCTTACGCGCGGTGGCGAGAGTCCCTACATCTGGCCAGCCCTTACGTGCGTCCGATCCTAAGCTGGTCTAGGGACAAAGTGGCGATCTTCCTTATCCATAAGGGCAGCTGCAAACAATGGGATAAACCTTCAGTCCGGCCAGTGACTCGCTCCGGACGGAGGTGTACAGGGGTTTGAGAGCTGCTCTGGATGGAGATGTACCGGCGGCGGTTTGAGAGTCGGGCCGAGGTGTGCGATGCTGAGCGCATTCAGAACCGGCAACAACTCAGATATCTGGCTGAGCAGTTCCTTTCGATTCGGGTCCCAAGGTTGGATGTTTTTCTTCATGCCGAGCGGTGGTGAACATCGGACAGGGGCTTTGGAAACCGGGCGGCCAGCCTATAATGTATCCTAACTTCCTCCCGGGGTGCATTGAGAACCGGGCTGCGTCTGAAAACCGAGCGGCCACCACCAGCCGAGCATCTGACCGCCACTTGGACATAATAGTCAACCATGGCCCCTTTATGAATCATTGTTTGCTGCCTTTGCAGATGATTGGATTGATCTAAGAGAGCAATTGGTTGCTTTAGCACCTGGACCCCACAGCCTATTTTCCTTGGAACATGTCTTGGTAAAAAAATCCTTCCGTCATGGGATACTGCAGCGAGCTTCATCCGGTGCAGGCAGACTCAACGTGGCTACAACGGTAGGGATGGTGTTGGCGGCTCCGGTGACCCCAACCCAGATCTGGAAAAAATCTAGATTGGGACTTTGAGAATCCGTAGCTTTTTCGCTCCTTCCTTCCCCAGAATCTTTTTCTTTCTCTTTGCTGGAATCTGGTTCAAACGTATGAATTTTTTGTAGAAAACTCAAGAACAATAGAACATATGAATCACTAGTTTTTCCTTCTTTTTTGCTAGAATCAGTCCACTTCGTATGATTTTTTTTGTAGAAACTCATAAACAGTAGAACACATGAATCTTTTTGGACAGATTCCCACAGACGACGCCAGTGTTGAGTTCAATCTAACACGATATAGTAAATATATGTATAAATGTGTATGAACAAGCTATTTTTATGTGGAAACCCGAAAGGGAGAAAACCACGAGACTTTTTAGGCTAATGTCCAAGCTAGGGCTGTTAACGAACCGAGCTTTTATCGAACTATTCGAGCTCGAGCTCGGTTTCGAACCTAACGAGCTGAGCTTAACGAGCTTTCGAACTCAAACCCGAGCTGAGTTTTAAGTTCGAAAAGTTAATCGAGCCGAGCTCGAACATAGTAGTATTCGGCTCGGTTCGAACTCGAGCCTATCGAACATCCTAAAATTTTAATGGAGGATAAATGTAACACCCCCAAATTTCCCACCCAAAAACAATACTTTATTCAAAAGAAATATTAACTTTATTCGAAAACATCAGAGTTATGCAGCGGAAAACCAAAAGGGAAATAGGGGCGTTACCGCCACACTCGATTCTCCCTTAACCAAGTGCACAGGCTAAAACAATTTTAACTCCCAAAATAATTATTCACTAACTAAAGTGATAACCGCTTTCGCGGCGTTGTAGTAAAACGGAGTCTAACCTTTCGGTTTTTCCCCGAGTATCGTGTCTCTCGAGGAATGGCGGAGGAGCTTCTTGATTTTAAGTCCAGTCACAGGTTATCGCAAATTATTGGAAGCTTTCCAAATTAAAACTTTTGATTGGTTTTCTAAACTACTTTTTGGAAAAGAAAGTAAATTAAATTGTGCAAATACTAATGATGGCTCAAAAATAAACTAAAGGAAAAAATATAATATTAAACTTAAATGGATTGATGCAAATAAGGGCAATGAATTGAGTAATTAGAAATGGATATATTCTTGGACCTAGTAATTAGGGAAATTAAAACTAAAAATAGACTAATAATTTCTTTCCTCATAGACAAGAATAGAAACTATTTTCATTAATTTATCCTATTTCTAGGTGTCATTAATGTGTTCAAAATGGTTGGCTTGAATTAAATTCTAACCTCATAGACAAGGTAGAAATAATTCTCCAATATTTTAATTAATAAAAATAGCCAAATTCATTAACTAGTTAAACTCATTATTTAAGCAATTGAATTTATCTCTCATAGACAAGATGTAAATCTCTTTTCATTAAATTATCCTATTTCTAGGCCTTATTAATGTGCTCGAATATGGTTGGCTTAAATTATTTTCTAATCTCATAGACAAGTTAGAGATAATTTTCCAAGAATTTAATTAATGAATATGGCTAACAATTATTAATTACTATTTCATCATTTCAAACAACTAGTCCAAATTATTAATTTTAATCCCTAATTTTCGGTCAACAAGTCAATCCATATTCCTTTAGTCAATTCATGCCCATAACAAATTTAGCTAATAAACATCATTTTTTCATTTAACAATACAATGAATAAATTCAACATTAACAAGGAATTAAGCATGTATAATAGCGAAAATTAAACAAAATAATATTCTGCCAAAATAAACTTGTAGAACTAAAATATCACCTTCTGGAATTTTTCCCGAATTTTATAACCTAAAATCCAATTTTAACAACTAATTGATAATTTTCCCAATATTAACTAGAAAATACAAAAAAGCAACTACAAATATTCTAAATTCGTTCTAAATTTTATATTGACTACTAGGAGTGATATTACTGTGAATTAAACTGGAATTAGGACAGAAACTAATGATTTGCCTTTTTTGAGTATTTAATTTAATTTATGCAATAATAACAACTAAATGCCGGAATTAATTAAAATTTACTTCTACTTCGTAAAAATTAACTTTGTTTTGATAAATAACTACCTTGAGGCTAGTAAACAACTATATAATTAATTGGAATGGATTTAATGTCAACAACTATTTTATTCAAATTTAAGAAGAAAATGCGAAATAGTGGAATAATTTTCTAGAAATTTTAGAAGCACAGATAGAAAAAACTAAGTATAGATTCAGACTCTACTCATTGAAAGGATGAAAATACATATAAAGAACTCACAATTTGGAGCTAAAATGAGAAAGATATAAAGGATTGAAGTTGAAGGTGCAACAATGGTGGAAATCCGAGCTTTGAGGAGGAAGAAGACGCCCTTTTTGATCTGATTTGGGCTTGAAATTGGTGTGTTTTGAGTTGGGGATGGAAGAGGGCTTTTATAGCCGGAGTTCTGTGGAAGGCGGCCAGAAGGGCGGCCTCCCTCCGGCCATGGCCGGCAGCCTTCGGTCACTTCTCCGACAAAGCTTCGTGCACGGGTTGAATCTGCCGCAGGCGTCCACGGTAGGCGTCCGCCCTTTTTGGCCGCCTCCCGTCTTGTCTCAGCTACCGGCAGCTCACAAATCACATCCCGCCGCAGGCGGCCACAGAGGGCGGCCTCCCTCCGTCCCCCGTCGGCAGCCTTCCATTATTTTGTCGCCATGCAAAGTGTTGTGTGCTGAAACTGCGAAAAACTCGTAGGCGCCCAAAAAGGCGGCCGCCTGATCGACCGCCTTTTGTCAAATGGAAAAGTTGTCTTCACCAAAGTTGTAGCTCTCTTTCTTGGCTAACTACTGGAATTTGAATCACATTCATTGGATTTGTAGTTTATGAGATATGGTCAAAACGGTGACCACGTGTCACTTTCCATCGCAATTGAAAATGTCTGACTTCTTTGAGCAATATGTCCATTCTACGGTGGTTATTTGGCTCTGTGTTCTTCATAAGAGTTGTAGATCAGGAAGATATCAATGTAATGAAACTCGTATCACGAACGTTGGACAATTATGCGCAAAGTTATGATCACAATACGAACATGTGTCTCTATGCATCGTCCATTTTCATCAAAAGTAGCCATATATGTGACTCCTTCTTGGTTTTGAACTTCCTTGGATGATTTCTTCATCACTTGGACTCTTTTCATTGAACAATTGGTCAATATATCTTGTAAACTTCCGTAGGAATTCATTTGTGCAAAAAGTGCCACTTTCTTCACGCAATTGACCCGAAATTTCGCAAAAGATGTTATGAATGTGATTTTTACCTGATTTCATGAAACTTGAACCACAATATCTAAAAATTGCCTTTTCTTTCTATTTTCAATCAAAAATCGCTTAATTTTGATAAGAAAAATAAGTACAAAAATGGACTTATCAATCTCCTCACACTTAAGCGTTGCTTGTCCTCAAGCGACAAATTGGTTGGAAACACACTCAAAAGGGTAAAACCTGACTGTATTACAATCGAGTTGCTATTAAAAACGTACAAACAAAAACCTCTTCTTTTATTCTCAATTTTTTAACATTTTAGAAAAATCACCCAAAATATAAGAATTTAAAATTATTATTGCTAAAGAAAAACAATTGATTATGTTAAACCACCAATCAATTCCTTATCCCAAGGTTTTCATTATTCTAAATTGGACATACATCTTGTTCACCAGTTTTTTTTTTTGCCTCCTTTTCACTCTTGTTGGCGGTGTTATCCCATGGTAAATGCATACTTCATTCTCACGGACTATGATTAACGAATGAAACAGAGCCCCTTTTCGGAGATGGAATTGTCCTATAACAATGAGTTTTTGAGTTTTATTAATACTAGCATTTTTGTTTTAATGAATAAAATGAATGTCCAATTAAAACAAATTCAGCCCTTTACATTCACAACCAAAAACCCATAACAAATTTAAGTTTTCTAAAAATAATAATAAAAGTAAATTCTTATAATAAGGGTGATTATCTAAACTATTATGTGATTGACAACAAATTGAGAAATTAATGTTTCATACCAAAAATAGTAAAAAGATTGTTCTAAAATAAGGTTTTAGCTTTTGAGTGTAAAACGCAACCTCCTCACACTTGAGCTAGACCTCGCCCTCGAGGTCTCTTTTTAAGGCACAAAGTTTTGAACTAAAGGCATTTTTTTTTTCTTTCCTCACACTTGAGTTTTGAAAAGATTTTGTGAAGAGGAACGATGAAAACAGGAAAAAAAATCCTTACATCATCCATAGTCAGTTTTTTTTTTCGAAATCGGGTCAAAGCGTTCAGCTCACAATTTATTTATTGAAGCACAACCTGCAAACATACAAAACAAACAAACAAAGTTATGAAAAAAAATGGGTTGCCTCCCAAGAAGCGCTTCTTTAATGTCACTAGCTTGACGTTTGAGAGAGAACTCTCTGCTATGCATGTCAGTTGTGGAACACTCATCATTAGTGCCTCCACCTTATCCTCCAGGTATGCCGTCAGATGGCGTAGACCCTCGAACTCTCGTGACCACCAAAATGTGATATAATCTTCAAAGAACACATCGTTCGAACAAGGAATTAGCACATATCCTGCATCACTCTCATTAGTATAATCAACAAGTATTTCAGGATCAGATGCCTCTGGTGTCTCCAACTGCTCATAAAGAGCCTTCAAGGTAGAAACAACTTGAATAGAGATTGCATACTCCTCTTGATGGGTTTTCTCTTCTTCATCTATGCCCTCAACATGAAAATCACAAAGTTTAGACTCTGTGTCACTCTCTAAGAATGCATCCCAACTTTCAACTCACAACCCCCAAAAATATCATCTAGGCAAACAGATCTTTGCCTAGCACAACAATGCTCATCATGATCAAGTAAAGAATCAAAGAAGGCATCATCGGACATTGTTTCCTTCACATAACAAGTTTCATCAACTATTTCAACAGGTGCTTGGGCTTGTGTAGGATCAAAATCTTCATCAAGGCTATCTTTGAGGGACTCTTTAAATGAGAGGTCAACCATAGATGGTAGGGTAGGTTCCTTGTCACAAAGTATCTCATCATCTATGGTTTCTTCATCAACCTCATTGGGCACTTTCATATGGGGCTCTTGAGAACTAAGTTCTACGAGGATAGGCTCTAGCTCAGTAGCAATGAGAGGCTCAAAAGAAATAGGGGTGAGAAGAGTTTCAA